AGCCTGTCCACTCATTCCTTCAAGGTGCTTCCTCCTGCGGTCCTTTCCAGCCTGAATAATTTCATCTGTGTGTTGTTCTGGTTTCAGTGTGTTGGGGGGGTTTGTGGTTTGGTTTGGTTTGGGGTTTTTTGTGGTGGTGGTCTGTTTTTTGTTGGGTTTTTTTGTTTTGTTTTGTTTTCCAAAAAGATTGGAATTTGGGTTTGGGAATCTATTTTAAAATTCCCATGTGAAAATTGGGACAGAGTACACAGATTTATACTAAAATGAATGCATTGCATTGAAAGAATGGCTTCCCTGATAATAAAACAATTAATTAAAACACATGAATTCTTCACCCTTTACTTTGTAAATTTTCCTGCAGTAAAGCGTTACCTTTGCCCAGATAGAGCACTGGTTTCTACTGTGGCACAACTTCTTTTTCAGTTCTTACTGAGTAGGTTGCTTGCATACAAGTCCTGGATACCCAGTCAGAGAACAAAGATTTTTCAGGAAGTTGTGTATTTCAAGAGTAGAGTGGGAGTAGCTTAATTTTACCCCCTCTGGCTCTCCTCCCCTCAACCACCTCCACCAAAAATTGCAATCACTGAAATACTGTTTTGGGCATTCCTAAATGTCAAGTATTTGGTGCTGCTAACAGATGATAACTGTGTGGGAGGTTGTCCCATACAGCACCTTCATGGGATGCGTGAATCTCATTTCCTCTTTGGCTGAATTAGGGTCGAAACTTAAACTTTGGTCTTCAGTTACTGGGATAGGAAATTCTTTGTTACAAATTTGTTTCTAGCATGAGTGCTGCAGTCTTGCGGTACAGTTCATTGTCACTGATTTTAATCACAGCAGGCTGGAACCTGTTTCCCTTTTCTCATCCAAATGTTGTAGGCTGTAGAATTACTGTTTCAGGGTGCCACCAAGTATTCAGCTAACTGATACAAAGCAGAATATCTCTAGCAAGAGACGGCCCAAACTCCCATTGTTAGGACTCTTTACATGAATGATGGGAGACGGAAATTTGGGCTTAGCTGTGAATATTGCAGAGGAAGGATCTGAATTTTAGTCTTTGATATCTTAGCTAAGCAGTGTGGCCGTAGGTGATGAGGTTGGATGGCAGTAGCGTGTCAACTGTCTCCTCCTCCTCATTGTCCTCTCTGCTTTGTGACTAGTGCCAAGGTTGCACTGTGAGTCCGGTCCTTCATTTCTGGGTGTCCTCGAGTGCTTAGGAATCGAGTGAAGGAAGTGCTCCTGCCTTGGTCTGCACCAAGCTGAACCACCACTGTTGTAGTATAATATATTCTGCGCACAGAAAGATAGTCCACTGGGATATCTTGGAGCTACAATCTCCAAAATCTTAATGTTCAAAATGCCGTTTGAATGGAAGGGCTGATGTCTTGGGTTTGTCACTGATACCTGTATGTGTTGCTGTTCACTTGTGTGATTGGTGTTTGGATTTCAGGTCTGTCTTAGTAACATTTCTTAGTATTTTTAATTGGCAGTGTTCTCTTCCAAACCCTTTCCTATATAAATAATTGATACATTGGATAAAATTGAACAGATGATTCCCACTCATGGATAGAGTCCTATCAGAAACGGTTAAATAGGGTTTGGTGTGAAAGTAGAGTGTCTGAGCTGTTAATTGTGCAATTAACAGTGAAGGCTCTTCTATATGCTACAAGTGTTAACCAGGAAAGTCCATGCCAAATATTGAGATACAGATTCAGCTGAAAATTTATTTTTGCTTTCAGGAGCAAAATACTCTGCATAGAGATGTTGCCGTTATTGCTGTAAACACCTCTTATGCAAGTTGGGTTTTGTTTTTTTTTATACAGTATCTGCAGTAATAGGGTGTTTAAAAGTGGGCTTCATCTTGCCTAATTCATGGTGTCTAAAAACAAAGCAGTAAAGTGTCTCTGCTCCCTCAGTGATAGCTGAGGAGAGACAGGTATGTCTGTTGGTGGTTCATCCCACCCTAAATGCGGTGGCTAAGCTGCATGGGATGATTGCTCTCCAGTGACGAGCTGTTTGACCTTTAAATGGCAGCAGGTGAGATGGGTCCTGTCCACAATCAATAGGAAACAGAGATTCTCCAATGAATGTTGTGTCCTTCAAACGGGGGCATGTCTTATGGGGGTTCTCTTATCTCTGTTACTGCTTTATTGCAGTTACCACATTACTCCCTCCCTCCCCAGAACTTCTCTGAGATTCCTTGTGTGTCTCCAAGTTTCGGTCTGGGTTTAATGAAGGAAGAGGAGAGGAAAATAATTAGGGTAGGCTTTTTGTTGTTGGTTGGGGTTTTTTTTAATCAAAAATGAGCTTTCTAAATAAGGCAAAGGACTTTGTATCCCCTGATTATTTGTTTTATAAAGAGAGAAAGAAAAGCAAAGATCACTCAGTACATTAGATTAGAAACTGATACCTCAGAGACTCGGTACACAATGAAAGTTGCTTGGCCAGTAGGTTTTACTTAGCAAGATGAAATTTCTCTTTAGAGGTCAAATGTTTCAGGATTGTGGAGGACATGGTGGAGAGGTAGGAACTCAGAATGTTATTAGGAAGAAATGCCTTATTTCTCTGGAGTGACCCAGCCTTCCAGAAGCTATGTACCTGTATGTATAGTTCCATGCTTTCTAACTTCCACTTTTTTTATTTTTCCCTTATACTTACATTCTTTTGCTGGGCAGTGGATCTTCGAGATTCTTTATTTATCCTGTTGTTGGATACATAGAGACTAAAAGAGAAATTCTAACCAGTCTAAACCTTAACTGTTTTGGGAGCAGAACTTTGGCAAAATTAGTTCCCTGGATTGCTCATAATGCATTTAAGAGAACAATTTGGAAGGATAAGGACTTCTGAGACCTGGTGTCTTCCTTCAGAATTCCTTATGGAATCTGTTGGGGAAGTCTTTTTTGGTTTTAAAAAATGAAGTGTCATTGACACTGAAGTGTCATGAAGTGTCAATGACAGGCTTACTAAAGTTGACATACTAGAATAAACTGGTGATTCATATTAGTGGGAAGTGGAGCAGTAACCATTCTAAGTGTACTGAAGGAGCTTGGTGAAGCTGCTACTGTAAAAAAAATATTCTAATTAAAACCAGTTAGAAAATGAGGTTGCCATAAATGGAATTTGTATCTTCAAAAACTGGGGGAGGATGATCTGAATGCTTTCTTACATAGTATCTTGCTAACCTCTGGGGCTCAGTGCCCTATGATATCTAAACAGAAGAGCTTAGTGTGGTTCAAAAATAATTGGACTGTTGGATTTATACTGGGAAAAAAACCCAAACATAAACCTGGTTGCTAGATCCACAGCCTTATTTTATTATAACCAAGCGAGTCAAATTAAACATAATTGTTAACGAACTTAACACAGCAGGGGCAAAGCAGTACAGCTGCTGTGAAGGAAAATTGAGCTGTGCGCATCTGTGCCGATTAACATTAATGAATAAAGAAATGACTGTGTAATAAATTTCTTAAACGCTTTGAAAGTAAGGCTCTCTGGTTTTCAGAATGCCACAAGTAATACTAGGTATGTTTTAAGATTCTAATCTTTGCACAACTGTTAAATATACTTTTTCATAAATTTGAATAATTTGATAGTAGCTGAATGGTATGAGTTGTGTAAAACTTGAGATTGGTTCAAAATTATTGAAGTAGCTGAATAGAAGAGAAGACTTGTGGTATTCTCTTGGGATCCCAAGGAGGGTGGGCACCCAGCAGTCTGACACGCAGCCCAAGCCAAGACGTGGGCAAGCTTGTGTATGCTGTGGAAAGGTTTTTATTCTGTAGTAGCTTCTAATGTAGCTGCAGCTGTGTGTTGAGACAAGTCCTCCGGCTTGGAGCAGTGGGTAGTGTTTCAGTCTCATGCTTCCAACATGCAAAGAGCGCCCAAAAAAACAGAAGTAGCGTTGGGCTGAAGCACACTGCTAAATTCTCGTCATCCATTTAAAAATAGAAGGGAAAGATTTCTACTAGTATTGGAAAAATCAGAATCAGGTAGGAATGAGTTTGTGAGGATATGTATATTCCATAATTAATAATTCACAGGAAGCAAGGTGGGCAGTGTTTATTTTGACCACAAATCAAGAACAGAGGGACATTCAATACCCTGAACATTAATTAAAAACTACTTCCTTATTCCTTACATAAGGTCTTGCTAACCTGTGGAGCTCGGTGCCATATGATAGCTAATCTGAAGAGCTTAATAACGTTCAAAAATAATTAAACTTTTGGATGGATACCATCCTCTGTTACACAGGAAAAAGAGAAACTCTCCCACTTCAAAGACAAGTTGGTAATGAGCAACGTTCAGAAAACTTGACTGTCAGCCATTGCTCATTAAAAAAGCTTGTGTACCAGTCGTTGCCGCTGCTCCGTGAGGAGAGAGAACAAGGGCAGACAGTCTGCCAGTAGATACTGCTTGCTGAAAAAACACTTTTGCAAATGGTCTGTTGTCTGAGCCGCCTTGGTTTTGCTTTGAAAGTGTAAAACCTCCAGGCCCATGTCTTGCGTACTGCTTGTCTCGGGATGTTGGTTGTGCATAAACTCAAATACTGCAATGGGACTTTCATCAGAAAAGCAACTACAATTAGCATTATAGTTATTGGTAGATTTCTGTCATGGCAATACTCATTTGGATTTTTCTTTTTTTTTTCTTTTTAAATTGGAGATGTATGTTTACTGTGTGTGACTTCTGTTGGCATTGCATGCCTCCTACAGCAGGGAGAGTGAGTGGGATTGCTTGCTTATTTGCCTACGAACACCAAGGCGTCGGTTATGGAAACCCTGTTGACACTGCTTAGGCTTGAACCAGGGAGAGAACAATACAACTGTAAAATTACCAGTTGATATGAAAATGTCTTCCATTAGTTTGCAGGATATAACAGATTTTTTTCTATCGTACTTTGTAAAAACAACTTACACGATCAGATTTATTATATGAATTTGTTTTGGATCTTATGAGATTTAAATTAGCAAGCATCTTAAAGTTATCTGCATTTTTTGCAGGGTATTATAGAAAAATCAAAAGTGAAAGGAATTCCTATCATTATTGATGCTGTAAGTATTTTCTTGAATCAGTCAGTGGTTTGACATTTAGGAATCTGTTCAGTAACTGTTCTTCTTACTGGTTTTTGCAGGATGGACTGTGGCTCATTTCCCAGCAGCCTTCTCTTATTCAAGGCTACCAGCGAGCTATTCTTACTCCAAACTATATGGAGTTTAGTAGACTATATGAAGCCATGGTGAGCTGTTTTCCTTTTTGATACTTAAGTACGTGCAAGTTTAGTCTTTTAGTCTTTAAAAATAAACAACTTATTACTGGCTTAAACATTATGTGCTGTTTCTTATATGCGAGAGAAGCATTCTCTGGGTTTTTATTCCATGGGATAATCGCCACAACAATGCATGTTTTTAAACGGAGCTCTTTTTTAAAGAAGACCCTTTCTTATGCATTTTTTGGCACTGCAGTTGGTATAGAAAAAAATACCTGGAAAGACCGATGCTGCTGCTTTTTGTTTTTTTTTAATTGCTGTCCACCCCCCTGCCCCTGCCCCGCATATGCTGAAGTAGCGTGTGTTAGAATATGTTGTTCTAGTAGTAAAATATGTACTGTGTATGGAATTCTTGTGTTGTAGCTTAGAGACCCTGTAGACAGTAGTGATCATCATGGATGTGTGTTAAGACTCAGCCAAGCCATGGGGAATTTGACAATTGTTCAAAAGGGAGAAAGAGATCTTATTTCAGATGGAGAGAAAGGTAAGTGAAGCCTTTTGCTTTTAGCAGTGTGATTTTTGTTATTGTTGTTTTTGTTTTGTTTGCCTTTGGTTGTAGTCTAGTGGTTGGACTGTATAGTAATTGGTTGACTGTATTCCCCTGAAGATTGAAGGGAGGGATGGCTGTCTGCAGATCATCTTTAGACAATTTGTGTAAATTGCTATTTTAAGAGTGCAACTTAATTTATTTGCTGAAAAAAAGTTGCTGGGTTTTATTTCTCATTTAAATGGCTCTAACTTACGTTTTACATTATGGAGGTATTAAGAAATTAATTTTTTAATCTTTGGACTGTTTTAAAATCCTTGACTGAGATGGTCTATGTAAGTGCAGATGTCATTGCTAAATTAGTGCAGAATAACATTGCTGTTTCACCATACATTGGCGTGTGTGAAAAATGAAGACATCTTGAGGTTCATGAGCTGCTCAGTTCCTTGATACTGCCCATCATGGGGCTGTAGCTTAGCATGTACATGTATGACTTGTACGTTTGCCCTGACAATTAAAAAAAAACCTCTAGATTGCCTTTACATCTTTTTAAAACAGTCATTTACTAATATAGTTAAAGTATACTTAATAAAATCAATGCTTTTCATATGGATCATTTACTGTGATCAGTATAAAATTAATTCATGAGTGCCTTCACACGTTTTGACTATGCGGTCTTATTTCATATACATAAAAAGGAGCAGCTCTGCTTCTCATTACTTGAAATGCTAATCTCTGATAAATGTTTATGCTGCTTCAGAACTGTTTTGTATATACAGTCCAGTTTTTGTTATTGGGAACCACGGGAGTCTTCTGTAACAGAAAAACAGATGTAACATTACAACTGCTTTGCGCAGAGCCACCTTCCACATACCTCGTTAGTACAGGTGTTATAGCAGACTGTGAAGCAAGCTGGGATCTGGAAGCAATATAGTTACACCTGTATGGGGAAGGACTTTGGTTGGTCCTATAGTACCCAAGTTGCCCTGCGTGAAATCTGCTCTCACGTCCGCACTCAGAGCAGACTTGATTTGTAACCTTGGACAGTCAGGCCAGGCTTAAGGGAGGATGAATCCTGCCAGAGGATAGAAGATCCTGGCTCCAATTTATGCCAGCTGGAGAGCTTTAGGGCACTGTAGTGTATCTTCTTTCTCTGTTTTTATGTCAACCATGTTCTTTTTATGCAGGATTGTTACTTTTTTAATGAATGTCAGGAAAACTGAGTGAGCACTTTAGATTGAGCACATTACCTAGTATCTTTTCTCCCTTTGAGCTGTTATTCTCAAGACGAGTGTACCCCACAATTGCTGAAGAGAGGGGACACTCCGTCTCCATTGTCTCTTGTCATGCAGGATTCAAAAAAATGGGAAACAACTCTTCCCAATTTCAATTTTGAATGTTCAGGTACATTCACAAACTGGCACAAGTTTGGTGTATGTCTTGTGTGCTTTTGGGGCTTTTCATTGTGTTGTTTTTTTTCCCCACCTTGTTCTTTGTTCTGTTCTGATATTTTTTTCTCTTAGTTAAGTGGCTTTTTGATTTGAAATAAAAACAGGTATGTGCCTTTATAGCCATTGTTTGATGTCCAGCTATAGGCTGCTTTCTTGTTCTTACCTTGGTTCTATCACTGATGCTTTGTCTCTCCTGGATTACAGACATTACAGGCAGCATTGCTGAACTGTAAGAAAGCAGATGTCAGGTTTAATACAGGTTATAATGTTTGTTACAAACACTGTTTTTAGGGTTTGTGTTGCTTGCAAGAAGGTTCCTGAGAGTTTTGCAGAAACTTCAGCTTCCTTTTTTGCAGGACTTCAGCTTCCTTTTAACAAGAATGTTCTGTGGGTCTGGAGCTACTGTCAGTCGATTTTTTAAAAGCTTCTCAAATGCAAAATTACGTTAAGAAAGAAAATTCTACTGTCTGCTCTGTGCCACAACATGGAACATGTTGTCATGTCACTGACTGAATTCTCTCCCAGGTTTTTCACTCCTAACTTCTTTTTTCATCTGTCTGTTCTTTTGATCTGATGTCATTTTTTTTCAGCTAAGACAACATACATCATGATTCCAGTGTGAGGGAAATCCAGATCATTGGATCAGGCCAATGTCCTCTGAGCACAATCAAATATTATGAAAAGATCTGTGTACTCTTCTTGCCTTTTATTTTTCATGTCATCATCCGTTTGTACCTATTTTTAGGCATTTCCTGCTTGAGCTCATGTGCTTAGCACACTGATACTGTGGTTTCCATATGTCACTTTTAAACTTTCTTTGGGAATATACTGCAGGCATGCTTTCGGGGGGGGGGCGGGTGGGAGTAAGTCTCAATGCTCTCCAGGAAAACCAGAATTTGCAAACTTCTATATGTAACTTTAGTGTTCTGTGCTTGGCTGTTGTGGAAGGAAGGCCTTTTGAGGATGCTGAATTCTGCAGCAGGGAAGAATGGCTTGGTGAATACTTTACAGCTTAGAGTGGTTGTAGTGGTTATTTTCACAGTACTTTTATTCATGAGTCTGTGGGAAGTTCAGTAGGCAATTTACTTCTGTTAGCTGAAGACAAAAAAGGTTATCAGGTGATTCGGTAGTGAGCTGGAACTACAGGTGTTGGTGAAGGATTACCGTCAGTAGATAGCTTTGTAGTCTAAGCAGACAGGCACAATAAATTCTGATTGGAAGGTGAAGCTTAATAAATTCAGATTAAAAGTGAGGCAGATTTTATTAACACACAAATTAGCTATGACACTAACGTACCTAGAACTTTGATAGATTGCCAAACTGTGAAGTGTCTGGACACCTTTGAGGTTTGTTTTTACAGATCAGATTAGATGATGCAGGTGGTTCCTTACGGCCTTAAAATCAGTACTGAATCACATACGTGGCCTCTGTGAAATCAGTAGCAGTCCTCCACTATAAAGGAGGTTTTTCTAAAATTTGTCTCCATTTCAGTTATGAGCTGCCAACTGCCCTGTAAACGTAATCACCAAGATTGTAAATTAAGTTTTATATACTCTTTTTCTCTTTCCTTTTGCAACTTCACATTATAGCTTGGTCTACAGTTGTTGATTCCCTGCTCTACAAAGATGAGCTTCACCATGCTCTTGGTAGGTGATATCAGTGCCATCACTGACCAGGGTAGGAATGAGTACTCAGCCTGTGGGTAAAAGGTAAGTCAGCTTTTATTCACTATGGCACAGCTCTCTAAGGTCTTCTTTTTATTATTCTTTGGAGAACTGGTCAATAATAAAGTGTGGTTATACCAGTCTTAGTTCCTAACATGTTTAAAATTTGGTTAGGTCCTTGAAGTAGAGGATTTAGATTTTTTTTTTTTTTTTTTTTTTTAATGTTACGAGTTTTTCTGTATTTTCCCCAGCACTTGTGTTTTTCCTCTCCTCCCTTCCAAAAGGCATACTTTACAGGTAACCAGCCTGCTGCTGCCTGTGACTACTTTTACCTGGAGCCAGTAGCCATAGTTTCTGTCTAGTTGCCCAGCTGCAGCTATGGTGAGGAGAAACAAAGCAGCATGTGAGAGGGATTATTGAGTACTGAATATGGGGTAAAAAGCCAACTCTTGCCATAGATCTGCAAGCAGTACTTTTCATTTCTGCCATTCCTTCCCTATACGGCTGGAAAGGAAGCTATTCAGTGCTGCTCAGTCCCTGGCTTACTCAGCTAAAGGGTCTCGTGGTGTCCAGCAAATTGTGCCTAGGTTTTTAACCGAGCAGCAACACCTTAATCTCCAGTCCTGCTTGTGCAGGGTAATCAAAGCAGGGAGGTCCTGGTTCCTCTCGTTGTGCCACTGCACTCTCCAGTGCCCATGCAGCCCAGCCTGCTGGCTCCCTGGCACTGCTCACCCGTCATCACGTCCGTCCCCTGGCTCCTGCACCTACCCAAGAAAAGTAATGGGAAATTTGGATAATTTTCTTCTAACTTAAATTGCCTGGTGTCTCACACTCAAGGACCTATCTAAGTTTTAAAAGTGTGATTAGGGAATATAGAAGTATAAGCACCCTTTATATAAAAGCCAACTTACATTTTCCACATCAGTTGAGTGATTTTTCCAGCCAGAGTCATTAGTCTTGGTTTCCCTGTTTGTGTGCTCTCTGGGACATGTTTCTGGGAGTCCACAATCTCCAGCTATGTGCTTTTGTGAACTCATTTGCAAAAGGAAAAAGATAAATTTCTTACCACTATGAGCATCTGCCAGGTCAGATGGTAATCTATTGGTAAAAGATTTTACTCAAGATCTGATAATGGCCTAAACCTGAGTCTTTAATTTGACAGAGCAAAATGGTCCTTGATAGCTATGTTATTTTGCATAGAAAATGTAAATCTTAACCCTTTTAATTAGACAAGAGTATTTGTTGTTCTTTGGGGTAGCTGATGTTAGATGATCCAATCCAGATGGATCGTATCAGAAGTCAGAATCGTCGTACCTTTCATACACAGATTCCTGAGCACATCAGGATAAGTGTAATACTCTTGCTCTGTAAGAGGAAGACAAGTGCAAAGAACTTGTTCATGATGTCTGAGATTCCAGAATTAAATTTTAGTCTCCAGGATGTCTTTTGGTCTGCAGTCTCAGTAAATGGGATGTTTTACGCAGGGTCTTTAGCCACCTTTATGATCATCACTATTACGTGTTTAGCCTTAACTAGCTATCCCATATTTCACATTCTGTGTTCTAAATGCAAACATAAAAAATTAATCCCTGCAGGTTTGGTTTTTTTTTCCACTAGTGTGTGAACATCATGAATCAAGAACACGCAGACATAAGTTACTTTTTAGACTATATGGGCCTTTGGTTTTCTAACTGTAATGTGTCTAGGAGCTAGTGTTGTAAGTAGGGCTGCCTGTGTACAGCCATATCAAAATTCATGCTTCCCAGTTAACTTGTAGTGCTCAATCTCAGCAAAACGACTTTCTTTTTCCTTCAAGGAGAGGACAGCTATTTTCAGTTACGTAACAGACTGGGTTTTTTTTAATGAAGCATACAGTCCACATAAAGGGGTCATTCTTCTGGGCTTTGATCTGCCAGCGCAGTTTGGGTTGGGAGTTCTTTCAGCTTGAAACTTGCTGGCAATAGTATAGTTAAGTGTGACACCATGGTCTGGATGCTTCCCCAAATGCTAATGTTTATCTTATCTTATCTTCTCTTCAAGGAGTGCTGAAAAGGGAGTGGCTGTAACTTATTTTATGACCTGAAATATATTAAACATAGAGCTACTAAATGACTTGGCCATAGATACCCAGGAAGTCTGGGGCAGAATTTTGAATTGTGTGGAGCCTAAAACTCTTGAATTTCTACTTTCCAATATTCTGTCTCTATGACAGCCTTCATTTTTTTGTTTCTATTGCACTCATATTTCAGTACCAATTGTTTCCAGGGACTTAGGTAAGCAAGAAATGTGGGTGACTATGTGAGGGACGTGCTGTATTTGCTCTGGCAGCAATGGCAATCTTTATTTGCTGTTTACTTGCTGAGGTTATGTTGAAACTATTGAACAGGGCTATGGTTGTTCTGACTCTAGCAGATCTCCTTGCCATACTTCATTCAATGATTTCTTCTAGCCTTTTCTTAACAATAATATGTGTATGCTCCATGGGTGCGTGCTAGGGAGATGTTTGTTTTTTTTCCAGAAAGTTACTTAGCATAAATCAGTTTTCATTAAAAGACTGTCTATTAATTATGCTGAGGTGGGGTTTTTTGATTCATCACCCTGTGAAATAATGACATCAGATTTGGTTGCCCAGACTGAAACCAAACAAGACACCCTGCCCCAATAGCCAGTTTGACCGGCACTGGTTGTGTGTTTCTCTCTCTTAGGGTCTGTCAGCTGAACTGTAGATGAACCTCTCCATTATGTTGATTGGGACTGGTGTCAGACTAATTGACCTTCAGTGGCCCCGGTCGCTGCCTTGCAGCACTGACACTGTGGTGATTTCAGTCTTTGCGATTTCCCTGTTGTCCAGTGTCCAGTCCTCTTGGTCTCCTCAGGTATTCCAAGAACCATGTTTTCCACGCGTTCTGACATACGTCTTCATCCCTGGTTGAACATGGTACAGCCTCACTGAGCAATGGACCAAAAAATACTTCATCCTTGTGTAAATGCATCATTCTGCATCTCTCCAGGGAACAGAACTGCCTGCCTTCTCGGCAGCATCGCTGACTATTCAGTCATGTCCATCTAATCGAGGTCTTGTAACGTTGCCACGGGCTGTCACTGCTCGGTGCAGCGTATAAGGATGTCACCCCTGTGGTCCTTAAAGAACTGCTTGAGCTGTCTTCACGGCGGGTCACAGACATTTAGTGGAGGATGTTGGACTTAGGGAGTGGGAAGACAGCAGTTTTATTTTTGCTGTTCTAGGAGAAGGCTGGGAAAGCATCAGGAACACTTTGTCCTTTCTGGATTTGGCAATATGCCAGTTTGTCTTGATGGTAGTGTGGGATTCCGTCTTCTATTTTAAAAGCTCTTAACAGTGCCTATACTTCAGAGGAGTTTTTCGTTTCTTTTCCCATTGCCTGTTGTGATGTTCATCATCCTTTTATTTTGAGATGTTCTTTGAGGAACTGAGCCTCTGCGCAAGAATTGCCCGAGCGTTACACCTTTTCCCCCTTATTCAAGTGAATTTTCTGTAGTTATGCTTCTTTGAAGGCATTGCGTGGATTTGTTTTCCAGCATCTCTGTGCAGAGTACAAAGGTCTGCTTTTGTTGTTGCCTGTGAGGTAGTCTGCACATATTTGAGACTTACTTTTTAAAAAAACACAAAAGACCACTTTTTTTTTTTTTGTAGCAGGGTTTTATAATTGGCCTAGTTTGAGGAGATCTCGCTTTCCTGTACAGCTCAAAACTGACTGGAAGGTTGTGGGGCTACAGAATAGTGGCAGATGGTGACACACAGCTAATAAGCAGGGGCTTGTGCTCAGCTGTCAGTCAGAAGGCCCCAAAGCTTTTGAACAGAGGATTTCCATCCTGCCTCCTGCCAGGAGTTCAAGCCCTCAAAGTGAAAATCCTGTGAGATACCATCTTCAAAGTAGCAGAATTAGAGGTAATTTCTCCAAAGCACTGTGTTTAAAAAAAAAAAAAAAAAAAAAAAAAAAGTAAACCCACGCCACCTAAAAGGGCATACCTTCTTCAAACAGCTAACCCAGAAGAGCATTACACTTGTGAAATTTGACATTAACTACTGCTCACTGAGAAACACATCCAGAATCTTAATTTGGGGGGGAGGGGAGAAGAGTGATTGGGAAAATTAACTGCTGGCAGCGCTGCAGCGGTGTCTGCTGTGTTCGGTGGTGACTAATGAATCTTTGCCCTCTCAGTGGCAGCAAAAATGCACAACTGCTTGGGCTCACGAGCCCAGTAATTACTGCTGGAACAATCGGTGGGAAATGGGAGTGAAGTACAATTCTTTGCTGGACTGAGTAACAAAAGGCAGAAATGAACTATGCTAATGAACTGGAAAGGGTTTACTTGCGTTAAGTAGTTTTTTACCTCTAGCTATTTAAGAAGATTTACCTGCAAGTCCCTCAGTTTTGTGCAGATTTTTCCTATTATTTTGTAAGAGAAAATTTACTTTTAAAAATACGGATAGTACTCCCTCTAAAACACCAGGGCTGCTCAGTTCATACACCTTGGAGAAACCCAGCCCAGGTGACTTGAGAAAATTGAGGTAAGAGCTGTTCTCCACACAGTGTGTTGCATTATACTTTGCTTGTGCACTTGGCATGCTCGGGGGCACACAAACGATTGTGTGCGTGGTTCTGAACCCGAGCAGCTCCACAGTAGCTGACTGGAGATGCTGAGGATCGCTGCTTGGCCACCGATGATTCTGCCAGCTCTTCCGTTCTCCTAGGAGGGGAAAATAAAATTTTTCCTGGGTTTTTTTTCCAGAGCCAAGCAGGAAGGAAAGCTAAGGGTAGACACATAGCCACAAGAGAGTTTGGAGAAGGGTAGCAGAATTGCTGCTGTTTTCTTTGTGTCCCTTGTGTATCCTTCGGGCTTCCTGCTTGGGCTTGTTGAGAGCGGAGAACAAAGGAGTTAAATTCAGTGAAACCATTTGCATGTTCTTCATAGTTAAAGCTCCACAAAGAGATCAGTTTGACCAAGGTCCTTTGTATGTTTAAAATAGAAGTGTAACATCTGGTATTCTGACAGAGCCTATCCACAGTGACACTGCTGACGGAAAGACACACGGATGCTGACGACGCTGTTGATTGGCAACGCCTAAGGAAAAGGCTGTTTTCAGTAAAATGCCTTTCTGATTGGCATGGCGGAAGATTTGAGATTTTAGTTCTATTTTGCTTTTGCTCTTTGTAAAACACCTTGGTTTACCTTTGACAGCTCTGAAGGTCAGAGACTGGAGACTTGTGTTTGTGCAATGGCTTTGTGGAGGGTCCTGGTCCGATCTGGGGGGATTGCTCATCGTGGCAGCATCAGTTCACGTGAATCACTAAACTCGTTAGTGACTAAATCTTCCGTGCAGGCTTGAGTGAAGTGGAGAAAGTGTATACATTGTGCGATGTTATTTGTAAAGGATTGAGAAGTAATTAGAAAAGTATTTTTTAAATGTTAATGCAGTATTTTAAATTTTTTTAAGAATAGTGTATTTCAGCATATGCTGCTGCCTGTGATTAATGTCTCACCTGTTAATGACTGTGTGCCTCAGAGGTTAACCCTCACAGCTACAGTGATACCCGTGTAAATAGAAGGAAGAATGCACGTGACACTGTTTCTGGTTTGTCTGTTCATAGTGCTTGTATGCAGTCACGAAGGAAGCAGCCGGAGATGTGGTGGACAGGGGGACCTCCTTTCTGGTTCTCTTGGAGTCTTAGCGCACTGGGCATTTCTTGCTGGAGCAGAAAAAACAAATGGGTATGAATATTAACTAATAACTTCTTAATTCTTGTGAGTCTGTGCTCTCCTGTGGCAACTGTTGTAGACCTGCTATAGAAATTTCCAAATGAAGTTGGAGTTGTTGGGACTAAGGCATCCATGTACTTCTAAAAAACGTAAGGGTGTTCTAGAGCAGTCTACAGAATAGTCACAATTTTAGTAAGACAAACTCTTCAGTAATCTAACATCTCCCAAGTTTGAGGCAGAAGAAAAGTGTGAACCTGGATTGATTCCCAAGGACATATATGTATGAGGTATGTGTTATCAAAACAATGGAATGTAGGCAGAAAATACGAAGAATAAATAAGTGGTAGTCACTGGCAGTAACATCTCTAAAATTTGAAAAATGTGTCATTTAACTTTGTTTTTGTAATTTGGTGAATCCTCTTGCATTGTAGCCAAATAATTGAGTGGGGCAGGTAAGCTGAAACTTGCAAATAAAACACAGTTTCAAAGAGGGTAACCATTTTAAGGCCAAGTGGCAGTCCGGGTTGGTCATGCATAAAGCAGCGGCGCAGCTGGCTGTTGGCGCTTCTGTTAAATTATGTCAATTCCTGTCTGACTACTTGGTCCATAGAGTCATATAGTCTTTCTGTGAAAGTAGCTGCTTTAAATAAAGTTGAAAGGAACCCTGGCACAAGCAGTTTGGGAGTAACAGTCCCTCTTCCCAAAAATTAATGAGCTGTCGAAGCTTGAGGAGCAGCGATCTTTTGTAGTCTTTTGGATGCTACGTGCGGATGCACGCAGTTCGATGTCTGTGGGAGTTAACTGGTCTGTGCTTGCGTTGCTGTGAGAGCACTGCACAGGGTCCCCCAGGAGGAACGAGGGACCAGTTGAGCCAGACTTTAAAAGTCTGAAATCTAACATGCCCAGAATGAAAAATGAAACCAAGATTGATTGTGATTCTGGAGTTGCAGCTGCCACTAAAGGAGGAATTTTGGTTTACTTCATTAAAAGGGTGACTTCATTTTTGCATGGTGTGCAACAGATCAGTATTAAATTGTTGGAGAGATTAGCAAACATAGCACGTGTTCTCCAGGCTCTCCTGACTCGGGCTCCTGTGGCTTTTCCAAACAGCTCGCTCAGAAACTCCTTTATTTTATAGATGAAGGAAAAGTGGGAGAGTATAATTGGCATCAGCAATAGACTGTCCCCCCTGCGGTGGTGGTAAGGTGACCCTTGTGAAACACCGGCTGTACCAGTCCTGTCTGGCTCATGGGTTTGGGGAGAAGAGGAGCTTTTTGGGTTCAGTGAATCAGGGCATCAGCTCGTAGACTGCACCACGGGCAGCCCTCGAGGACCAGGGCTGGGTACGCTCGCTCGGGCAGCTCCTGAGCACATAGGAGGCAGGAAGAGAGAGCGTGCCTTCATTTCTGTTGTTGTCTACAGCTGTCCCTGTACCACTTTTCAGCTGATGTAATGAAGGCCCTGGAGCAGTGCCTGTGGCCCTGTTGAAAATCATCTCTTGTCCGCGTCCCCACGTCCTTTCCCCACACCCTGCAATACAGAAGTGAAGGCAGTTACCCAGCGAGGGGGGGAGAGGCAGTTAAAAGGCTGCCAGGTGAGACTTGTGTCTTCCTCTGAAGGAAAGGATGAAGTTTCACATCGGTAAAACCAGACAGGGAGCACCTTCTGCCCCACTTTTTAAGTGTATTTTCCTTTGGCATCCTTCAGCCCTGCTGGTGTTTCACACTCAGTCACAGGCTGTGCCGTGGGGAGGGAAGTATTCGTTAAAAAAGAATTCAGCCAAAGGTGCTCTGCAGTGCAAGAGTCTGTGAAACGCAGGTGTTTGCTCAAGAGTCCTTCCCAACAGTGCTGACAAACACACATGGGTACAAAGATTACGTCCACCACCTTATGAATTACACAAGAGTGTTCAGATTTTGTTTATAACATGTTGTTTTTTTTTCCCTTTTAGTCAAAATCCCTTTCTAGTGGCTGCATTTGGAGCTTGCTCTCTTACGAGGCAGTCTAACCACCAAGCCTTTCAAAAATTCGGACGTTCAATGACTGCCTCTGACATGGTTTCAGAAGTTGGAACAGCTTTTAACAAACTTTTTGAAACCTGAAGCCAAAGCAGCAGAGAAGACAAGGAAGAACAATGACTGCAAGAGTAATTACATTTACAGTAGAATTTACATAAGTAATGCACCCTTTCAAGTGCTGTAGCAGCATTGGTATGCTAGGTAGATTTTTTTTTTATTTTTAAGAATAGAAAAATATGATTAATGTAGATATTTTTTAAGAGTTTGGAATACAGAAATGTTTTGGCTGAAATAAGCTGTAGTTGCAGATCTGTTATAATATAATAAAACTAAACTGAAAGTATTCCTCTGTTCTTTTTGATAGTTATTGAGCAATAACTAAAGTGTGAACAGCAAAAAAAAAAAATAAATGCACTTGATACTTAGATAAAATTCTTCCACCAGCTCAACTGAATTTCTTGGATTGCACCAAGGCTGTCATGTTTTCATTCTTAGACCCTCTGTCTAGAGCTAGCTGTTGCACTTCATTTTTTGCCACGCTAGTATATTAAGAAGCAAAAAGTAAGCCTCTTTGCAAGGGAATGCATGAGAGTTGCTGTAGATTTTGAATGTACTTAGTTGCCTTTTCCCATTCCCAGTCCCAGAGGCAGTGTTCGTTTTGACGAGACGCCCCTTCCTGCAATGTCTTGGGGTTTTGGTTTTTTTCTTTAAAAGGCTCCCCCATCGCAGCACAAGGATATACTGTAGGTATCTTAGCATTAAACAGTAATTACACTTGCCTGAAAAAAAGTTATTTTCTGTTCCTTTAGCTGGCCTTGACTCATCTAGAACTCGATATGGTGAACTTTGTGAAATTTTCATTTGAAGAGGTACTAGGCAGGGTAAGAAACTTAGTGATACGGAACTGAACTGGTCAAACTCTCAGTGATCGTGGCGGAGCGAGCGCTTGTAAAACTCAAATTGCCTGCCGCGTTAGAGCTCCGAGATGAGCATACAGCCGGCACGGTGGCTAGCTATTACCCAGCAGGGAACGTGAATGGAAGGAGCAGAAGGCACCCACCAGCTCGTACCTGTACCCTCGCGCTGTCACGCAGGCAGCCGGGCGCGGCAGGTCAAAGGCAGTTGTAGAAGACGGGTGGTCGGTGTTTGGGCTCCAGGTGCAGGACCAGGGTTTAGGGGCTTTTTGCTTGATCCTTACAGGACAGACAGGACTGCGACTGCTGGGGCCGTACCTCTCATCTGGCTTGTTGGCAGGGCAGACGAGGACTGGGTATAAAGGGGAAGCTGCATGGGATTTTGCACAGTATCATTTCTTAAATTTTTGGAAATTCAGTCAAAGCTTGCAGGGATTGAACCAATATGGGGAGAGGGCAAGTTCAGGCAAAGTACATTGCAGTGGATACTGCCCTTAAACCGCCAGTCCAGCTCCAAGTGCGTGTAAAGCGCAGGAACAAGCAGGTAACGTGTCTGATTAGTGCAGCAGATGTTACGTATTCCCTGCAGCAATTTTTTTTCCAGCGATCCAGCTCTGGCCTGGACTGTGGTGTCTCGCACACCCATCAGATCAGATCGCATCCTCGTACCTTGCAGTAGCTGCCTACAGAAAGCACCTGGAATCAGAAAGGCTGCTCCCAGCATTTTCCTTCAGCCCTTAGAGTTGGTGTTTCTGGATGCACTGTGACTACTACCTCACCCCGATGCATTTTTGTTTTTCTTTTTAAACCAGTTACCTATTTTGAAATAGGTTTTTAAATGTTTGCTCATTTTGGTCTATGAGGGTTCACAGACTTTAGATTAGAGCAATGTCTACTCATAAGAAATGGGGTTTTGGTGTTTAATTTAAGCAGTTTTGTAAACTGTCTACATCTTTGGGGAAACTAAGCTACTGTTGTTTTTCCCCCTAAAACTACTGGAGAAGCCCAACTCCTTTTAAATAGGAAGAAGTTAAAACTGATTTTAAAACAGCTACTAGATGTCCTTTAAAGTGAACATTTGTTTTGTATTTAGAACGTCAGTGGTATTACAACCTAAATGGCATTCATAGGCGAAGTCAATCAATTAACAGAGCTCAGCACAGATTTCAACCTGTCCTGTTGGTTTTAAATCTAGGCAGAAGTTGTAACTCTGTTATTCACTAATGTAAACAAATTATTGGTACAATTTTTAAACATTCTGGAAATGTAGCAGTTTATTCCAGTAGGAAATAAAAACAATAGCAAATTAATTGTGTGCTTTGTTTGGTGTGTTCCAGTTTCCCACAGAAGCCGAGCTGACTGTTCCCCACTTCACTACAGCAGCACCCCTCCCCAGCGCATTTAAAACCCCAACAGTGACAAAAAAGCATCTGCCAAGGTGCTGACGACGGCCCCCCAGCTTCCCTAGGAGTACCCAGAACGGGAGCAAACAGCTACGCGTTTACAATACAAAAGCAAGCCGTTAGCCTTCTGAACATATCACTTGGGTGAATTTTGTATTTTCAAATGAAATTCCTTGTAGCTGAACCCAGGTTCTTCTTTTATCTTTTCATCAGCTGAGGGCAAGAGAGGACGCCGGTAGGGACATGCAGGCCCCACATAACCTTGGGGTGCCGCGGGTGCGGCCACCTCCAGCCCCGGCACTCAGGAGGGGTTTTAACACAAACACAGCAAAAGAGAAAAGGTAACGGAACAGGCGGTAACTAAACACCGGTTTTGTCGTCCCCATTCTGATGGGGAGACCGGGGCGGGCTGCACTCCCAGGGAAATCTCGGTGTGCTCTGTGCAAAAGCAACCCGAAAAGGTACAAAGCCTTTCAGGTCACTGGAGACCATCACCTTACCATTACAGATTTCACACGGCCGAACCAGGGACGGTGCAGTAAGGAAATAATGTCGAGGCTAAAAGCGTCACCTCCTCCTACATCCGAGAGGAACACAATTGTTTAAATCAGTGGGCATAAAACTTTTCGCCTGCAAAGACAGGCCTGAGTTCGTGCCTCTGTCTTCACTACGTTTTACTTCTCGGTGCCAGCTCAGCGGCCGATCCCGTAGCCGTTGTGCTGCCCGGCGGTTTGGGTGCTTCCACCGCCTGTGCTGCGGGCACAGCTGCTGCCAGTCCTGTAGTTCTTCGCCTAGGAGTAGTGACGACAGTTTTGCTCAGATTGTATCGTTGTTGGCCAGTCTGGTCCAAAGATTTTATTTAGAAAGTGTTAGTATTTACAACTGTTGCCAAAGCAGCTGAAATAAAGTCTGATGATGAAGGATCAGCTTTTTTCCTCCGTCTGCTGCTCTGCCCGCCCTCCTTCCACAACTTCCCAGGTTGAAACGGCAGCTCGGTCCTGCAAGAAGAAGCGAGGGGTCAGTCCCAGCCCCCTGCAGCCCCCAGGTACCGTGCGGGGGTCGGGAGGTGGAGGCAGAGGTTTTTAACCAAGCTTCATACAGCAAAGCTCTAAGAGGTGGCAAGGCCATCTCCCAGGAACCCCGTTGTTACTAATGACGCTCAGAGTTGTAAAACCAACCCAGACAATTCTTCCCCATTAAGGAGGAAAAAACCCTCCCAACAGAAACATCCCCTGCTCAGCGTGGGGTGCTGCCGCTCACACCAGTAACTGCTGCTAAACTCTGGCAATCGCATCCCCTGTTTGAATGGGTTGTGTACATGGAAAACAGCTCTCATGGAGTACAGCGCCTAACAGATTTTATCATCTGCTGAATGATGATACTACAGGGTAGTAACCTGTTGCTGTAAATATCTGTAATGCAATACTGTTGTATTTTTTTTGAAAGATGATAATAATTCAGTCAAACTGCCCATTTCTGACTGACTGCAATTGTTGAAAATAAAAAGTTAATCTGAATATTGGAAGGTGACAATTGTATGAGCTGTGACTCATGAGAGGGGCTGGAATACAACATAGAGTTTTCTTTACATTAAAGTGAAAACTGGTGTTTGATGCGCAAATACCCAATTGCTAATTTGACTTAATAGCACCGATTAGCTTGCATTTCACGCACACTATAATGACATGAAAAAAAAGGGCGGATATTTTAATCAGTTTGTTGCAGGTTCTGTAACTTCAGACAAACAGAACATCGTCTGCATCGAGCAGTGTGAGGGAAGAAACCAGCGTACAGAAATCACGAATTTACAAGCTGAAGGAGAAGTTACCCTTTTTACGAAGCTGATTTTTAAGGGAATGAAGTTTCTAGCCTTCTCTCAGTTGCTACGCGCACCCTGGAGCGGCCAACCCCTCCCTGCCCAGCCCCAACCCAGGGCTTCCCAGTCTGCAGGGGATGGAGATGAAGCTCATCTGCTTCATCCGTTCTCCTGCTTTCCCTCCCGCGCGCGGACTCGGGAAGCTGCCGGCTGATGTCAGCCGCGCCTGCATTACTGCGGGCGCATCGGAGGGCTCGGAGAAGTCTCATGGAAATGAGAGGCGGCGTAGCAGAGAGAAATTCCAGTTACTTCCTCAGGCACCTGTTAGGCAAGCAGGACCCAGCGGCCAGGCACCGTGTTACCGCGGCATTTTTGGCAATAACTGACCCAGCCACGCAGACTCCTGCTGAGCCCGAGGGTGGCGAGAGCCCTGCTTTGGGTAGGGCCACGTCTCGTCGCATGTGTGCTCCGGGGAGCCCGTCTGAGGAACCGCAGAGCCGCACCGCTTGGAGTGCGGAACGCTGCTGGGATGCGCAAAGGCAAGACCTAGGCAACCTCACGGCACGCCTTCGGATACCTCCACAGCATCAGCAAAAAAGCAGGAGTTCGGCTTTGGACGCGTGCTGGGTGTGCTCCTACGTGCATGCGTGCTTCGTCTTCAGGAGCAAACTATTCCGGGACAAGCAGGAGACAGATCATGCCAAGCTTCAGGTTATTAAAAAAAAAATTTGAAATAAATGGAATGGGCCGAATCCTGGCTAAGGTCAATTTCTAGGAGGTTATTAGATGTCCATAAATCTCTTTAAAACCAAACCAAAGCAAATCTTCAAAAGGGTGGAGGCGGGGCTGCGGCCGTTTTGCCAAATAGATCAAAAAGGAATTGTCTTTTCCAAGACTCTGTCTCAGTGCAGTTGTTTGGATTTGCAAACTTCCTTGACAGCTAAGCAGAGCGAGGATTTAGCTGTGTACAAACAAGTTAAGGGAGCAGATGTTGCAGCTTCCCAGAGTCTTCCTTTGCTTTCACAGCTGTAGCTCACCACCCCTGCGCTCGGGCCCCCGCCCCAGTCTCTATCGGGACGCTCGCTTCCATCCGAGCTCACGAGGCAGCTGACCACACTTCATACCGGCGTTTACTAGGTCTGTTGACAAATGACAGCTCCCACCTTCAGCAATTAAAGAGGATGTATGCTGTCACTCCTAACGCCATGGTGCTTCATGTCCTCCCTTGGGTAAAACGATGCAAGGCTCAATTCCCGAGCGAGGGGAAAGTGAGCAGCGTGAACTGGAGGGA